TTGGTGCGTTTATTCATATCTACCTACATATTTGCAATATTTATACATATGTACATTGTACAACTATGTATGCATGTGAAAAAAGTTTGTGGATGGTGTTATTATTTTCTTCCATACATGTTAGGTAGAAGTCATTTTCGCTGTTATTCAAACGCGAAATTTTTCTACCCAACATATGCAAAAGGTTTTTATTTAAAAATATTTCTACACACTTGCAATAATTGTGAGGGCTATTCTCATCTGCAGGCAGAACCGCAAATATTGCTGTTGAATGATGTTTTTCTATAAAGATTTCTGAGAAATACTAACGACCATAATTTCTTGAGAATGCATTCCATTATTGTTAGTGGTATGCACATTATAACGAATCTTTATAGAATTTATATAGACCAGTGCTAGAATCGTAACAGTCTTGAACGAGCAACTCGTCACATAAAAATGCATATTTCGAATTATGACAGTCGTGGACGTACTACTCGTTTCGTATCCGAACTACAAACGTACTGCCCTTCACGACTGTAAAAACACGGTAATATACCTTTTACGTAATTATTACTCGCGTATACATATTAGGTGTAAAAAATTGTCGCTGCCTAAGATTATTTTTTTCAATGTAACATACGCGAAGGCCGTTTTATTTCAAAATACTAAATACTACTTCTAATAATTTTGAGGGGTGTGCTCAAAACGATATCTGCAGGTAGAACCGCAACTATTGTTTTTGAATGACATTTTTCCTTAAAGATTTCTGGGAAATACTAACGATCATCATTTAACGAAGATGCTTTCATTTTTGTTACAGGTCAGCACATTTCAGCAAGTCTATAGATTTGTCTAATATATATAGAGTAGGTAGGTAGAAGTAAAAAACAGAGGCTTATTAATTATTACTCGCGTATATAAGGCACAATGGAGGATGGTTCCGTGCGCAGAAGTGGAAAACTTTTGACTGCCATTCACCTGGGAGTGGCCAGAAGCGATTCTTGTGCGTACGGTTCAAATCGCAGCTCACAACGTCCGGATATTTATATCCACGTATCCTCTGGGTAGCAACCAAACACCCGTTTGGGAGCGAGCTAAAGTGAGAAGGCGTAAAACTTCGCGTGCGCTGGGTTTGGGTCCCGCCACGTTAAAACCCCGCCCAATGAAAAATTCCAACAAGCCTCGGATGAGACCCCCTTTTTCTGATGACGACCACGGCAAACGTATAAAGGACTATGATTTAAGGGTATGCACCTGGAATATCCGGACCCTTAATGGGGAAGGTGCCTCTGCCCGGCTGGTTGATGTCCTCGGGGAGACAAAGGCTGACATCACCGCCATCCAAGAAATGCGATGGACGGGGCAAGGTAAAGTAAGCGTGAAGCCTTGCGACGTCTACTACAGTTGCCACGTAAAGGAGCGCAAATTCGGTGTTGGATTCGTGGTAGGAGAGAGACTCCGTCGCCGAGTACTGGCGTTCACCCCGGTGGACGAACGTCTAGCCACAATCCGCATCAAAGCTAGATTCTTCAACATCTCGCTCATCTGCGCCCATGCCCCGACGGAAGAGAAGGATGAGGCGTCCAAGGATCTCTTCTATGAGCGCTTGGAACGTACATATGAGCGCTGCCCCCGACACGATGTCAAAATCGTGCTTGGCGATTTTAATGCCAAGGTGGGCAAGGAAGGGATCTTTGGCGCCACTGTCGGAAAATTCAGCCTCCACGACGAAACGTCCGATAACGGACTGAGGCTGATCGACTTCGCCGGGGCCCGAAATATGGTAATGTGTAGTACTAGGTTCCAGCATAAGAACATCCACCAAGCTACATGGCTGTCTCCAGATCGAAAAACGAGAAACCAAATCGATCATGTTTTGATAGACGGAAGGCATGCTTCAAGCGTTTTGGACGTACGTACACTCCGAGGGCCAAACATCGACTCGGACCACTATCTTGTTGTAGCCAAGATACGCACCCGCCTCTGTGCAGCAAAAAATGTGCGCCCAACAATGCAAGGAAAGCTTAACGTCGAAAAGCTGCAATCACAATAGACGGCCAATTTATTCGCCACTCGACTCACACACCTGCTCTCTGAGAGCACTCTACAACAATCCGACGTACTCGAGCAGTGGAACCACATTTCCCGATCATTAAGTACCGCCGCCGAAGAAGTAGTTGGATTTCAGCGAGCCCGAAAGAACAACTGGTACGATGAGGAATGTCAAGAAGCCGCAGAGAAAAAAGATGCCGCCTACAGGGCCACGCTGCGATCGGGCGCAACGCGAGCCATGTGGGACCGTTATAGGGAACTGAAGAAGGAAGCGAGACGTATTTGCCGCAATAAGAAGAGAGAGGCCGAAATACGTGAGTGCGAAGAGCTTGAGATGCTGGCCGACAGGAAGAACGTCCGAAAATTCTACCAGAGGGTTAGGCGACTTACGGAAGGTTTCAAGACCGGGGCGAACTCCTGTAAGAACAACAATGGCGACCTAGTGACCGATGTCCAGAATATACTTAAATTGTGGAGGGAACACTTTTATAACCTACTGAATGGTAGCAGCGCTGAAAGTAGTGAGGAAGACGAACCCGAGTCCCCAGTCGATGATGATGGAGTAGCTGTCCCACCGCCTGACTATGACGAGGTACGTATAGCGATTACGCGGCTGAAAAACAACAAAGCTGCTGGAGCTGACGGCCTGCCAGCCGAGCTATTCAAGTACGGCGGCGAGGAGCTGATTAGGTGCATGCATCAGCTCGTATGCAGAATATGGTCAGATGAACGCATGCCCGACGACTGGAATTTAAGTGTGCTCTGCCCAATCCACAAGAAAGGCGACCCCGCCATACGCGCCAACTACCGCGGAATTAGCCTTCTAAGCATAGGTTACAAGGTCTTATCGAGCGTATTGTGCGAAAGACTGAAGCCCACCGTCAACGAGCTGATTGGACCTTATCAGTGTGGCTTTAGGCCTGGAAAATCCACCATAGATCAGGTATTCACAATACGCCAAATCTTGGAAAAGACCCGCGAGAATAGGATCGACACACACCATCTATTTGTCGATTTCAAAGCCGCTTTCGACAGCACGAAGAGAAGTTGCCTTTATGCCGCGATGTCTGAATTTGGTATCCCTGCGAAACTAATACGGCTGTGTAAAATGACGTTGAGCAATACCACCAGCTCCGAGCCGTTTGATACCAAACGAGGTTTCAGACAAGGTGACCCCCTTTCGTGTGATTTCTTTAATCTTATGTTGGAGAAGATAATAAGAGCCGCAGAACTGAACCGCTCAGGCACAATACTTTATAAGAGCGTACAATTGCTGGCGTATGCCGACGACATCGATATTATCGGTATAAACAAGGGCTACGTCTGTTCTGCCTTCTCGGGATTGGATAGAGAAGCAAAGCGAATGGGTCTGGTGGTGAACGAGGGCAAAACGAAGTATCTCCTGTCAGCACACAAACAGTCAGAGCATACGCGTCTTGGCACCCACGTCACTGTTGACAGTTACAAGTTTGAAAAAGTGGACGACTTCGTTTATTTGGGAACCAGCATTAACACCAATAATAATGTCAGCCTTGAAATCCAACGGAGAATCACTCTTGCCAACAAATGCTACTTTGGGCTGAGTAGGCAATTGAGAAGTAAAGTCCTCTCTCGTCGTACAAAGATCACACTCTATAAGTCACTCATCATGCCTGTGCTGGTGTATGGCGCGGAAGCATGGACAATGAAAGCATCTGATGAGGCGGCTCTTGGAGTTTTCGAGAGAAAGATTCTGCGAAAGATTTACGGACCTTTACGCGTTGGTGATGGCGAATATCGCAGACGATTTAACGATGAGCTGTATGAGCTTTACAACGATATAGACATAGTGCAGCGAATTAAAATTCAGCGGCTCCGCTGGCTTGGCCATGTCGTTCGGATGGACAGAAACGCTCCTGCTCTGAAAATATTCAACGCGGGCCGCGATGCTGGGAACAGAGGAAGAGGAAGGCCTCCTCTGCGTTGGAAAGACCAGGTGGAGAAGGACTTGGCTTCACTTGGCATTTTCAATTGGCGTCAGTTAGCACAGAAGAGAAATGACTGGCGTGCTGTTTTGGACTCGGCCAAAATCGCTTAGGCGGTTACAGCGCCAAATAAGAAGAAGAAGAAGATATAAGGCACATACAATATATGTGCTGCATCAGACAGGCGCAGAAGAGTGGTGTAGTAAGCGGTTTTTTGTAAAAGAAGATTATAATATTAAAAAAATAACTGGATAAAAATGGGAAAAAGGAAATTTAATGTAGAAAGATATGTGAAGTATGAAGAAAGCACTAAGAAAAGCAAATGCCTCATAGAAACTTGCAAACGTGAATTAAGTGGAAAGTCAGCAGCAAATATTAGACGGAATTACAAACTTGTACACAAAACTGACATAATGGATAATACTGATGGAAGTGGTAGTGAAATTAGTAGTAAAATACAACGAAAAACTGTTACCAAATTAAACTGTTCATTAAATAAAGCTGGATTTTTAAGATGCTGCATGGGATTGATAACTAAAAAAAATATTCCTTTCAGAATATTTGATGACGAGGAGTATTTTAAAAAGCTTATTGAGCCATATGAGCAAAAATTTCAAACTAATTTAAATTCGAAGAATATAGTAACTATTCTGGATAAAAGTAAACAAATCAAAGAAAAAATTGCTCAATTGTAAAAAATAGAATGGTTTCATTAAAAATCGATATTGCAACTCGAATGGAACGAAGTGTACTAGGCGATAATTTACAATACATTAGGGATTACAAAATTCATATAAATACCATAGGTAAGTAATGAAATTATGTTGTATATACATACTATATATGTACCCATATATATGCTTTATATTTACTTAACGTTGCATTCGTTCATATATTTTTCAGGCATGATTGAAACTACGAAACGACACACCGCTGAAAATCTGAAAGAGGAAATATTAAAATGCCTTACTGAATACGGATAACGGTGCAAATGTTGTCAGAATGTCCAAATTGTTACAAGAAATGCAACAGGACAACTTTTCTAATAACGAGGACATTGAAACGGATTATGCTGAATCAAACAGTATCCAGTCGCAAATTGCTTCTGTTTTCTCTGTTGTTCGTTGTGCCGCACATACAATACAGTTAGCAGCCTATGATGTTTTGAAAACAATAGAAGGGGACATTAAAGAATGCCGAAACATTGTAAAGAAATTACGGACATCGGTAAGATCGGGTAATGTCGAAATTAGTTTGCCATGCCTTGACAATGCAACTAGATGGAACTCGACCTATGATATGATAAACTCCATAATCAGTATAAGAGATTACATAGATAATCTGTCACATATTAACGTCAACTGGATATTTGTACAAAATTTCCTAGCTGCTTTTCATCCAATAGCTAAATGCACTCTAAAACTGCAACACGAGCAATATATTATTGGAGACTTTTTTAGAGATTGGCTAACATGTGAATTGGAGCTTAAAAAGTTAGTGTCTACCAATTCATATGCGGAAGCGCTTCTAAATGCAATGAAGAAAAGGAAAGATACACTTATGGGAAATATTGCATTCATTGCTGCACCTTATATGGATCCGCGCTTTAATTTCGACAACAGACCTCTTCTAAGCTATGATCAAAAGCAAGCTGCTGTGGTAATTATAAATATTTTGATTTTGATATATTTTTTTATATCTTAATTTGAATATTTCTTATTAATATTTTGATTTTGCTATTTTTCCTTTATTTGCGGGATCATTTAATTAGGACACGTGATATGATAAATAAAATTGGCAAGCCATCAGAAGACCAGTACGGCAACAGTTCTCCAGATCTTCCAACCCAGTCGCTTCCCCAAGATGAACTTCCCTCCACATCGAAAGGCATATATGACATACTGACACTTCACGTAAACGCAATGAGAAATGCACAAGGTCCAACACCACAAAGAGGAGAAATGGCCTTTAAGGAAAGACTAGCTAAACTTTGCGATAGGGAAATGGAGCCATTTGATAGCAATATTTTGGACAACTTTCGAAAATTATATCGGAATGATGCCGATATGTTACAATTAATGGAAGTTGTACTAGCCATACCTGCAACACAAGTCTCTGTTGAAAGAGCGTTCAGTGCACTTTCAACAATATTAACTAAACTGCGAACAAAACTTTCAAAGAAATCGCTGTCAAATTTATTAATTACAAAACTAAACTTTGAGTTCCTAAAATTTTCAACACTAGATGTTGAAGATAGCAACTAAGCAAAAATATTTGTTTTAATCAGCTTTTATTTACATACGTATGTATGTTCGTATACAAATTCAAGTGCAGAAATTAATAAATATACAGACTTATGTACATAAAATATGAATTATCTTTATGAGTTTTAATTTAAGTAATTTCATGTACATACATACATATTTAAATACATATTTACGAATACATAGATGTAAGTGCGGAAATAAATCTTTTTTTTAATATGAAATTTCAAACAATATTTAAAAAATAAAACCTTATTTACACATAGAGGCCGAACCTTTTCATTTGACACCTCATTTTTGAAAATCGGGAGAACGGTGTAAATACCATAATTTTAAACGCAGGTGGCAATCCTGTAAAAAAAATATATCCTTGCTACAAATCTAGAGGGCAAGCCCTTTCATTTAACACCTCATTTTTGAAAATCGGGAGAACGGTGTAAACATCACAATTTTAAACGCAGGTGGCAACCCTGTCAAAAAAATATATCCTTTCTGCACATCCAGAGGCCAAGCCCTTTCTTTTGACACCTCATTTTTGAAAATCGGGTGAACGGTGTAAATATCACAATTTTAAACACAGGTGGAAACCCTGACAAAAAAATATATCCTTTCTGCACATCCAGAGGACAAGCCCTTTCATTTGACACCTCATTTTTGAAAATCGGGAGAACGGTGTAAATATCACAATTTTAAACACAGGTGGAAACCCTGACAAAAAAATATATCCTTTCTGCACATCCAGAGGACGACAGCAGTGAACCTTCGCGAAGGCATCGCTGCCACTTATACCTACATATATGAACGCTGTTTGGTCCACCAATACATACGCGTACGAACAACAGCGGAAGTTTTTTCTACCTAACATTCGCGAACGCGAACTATCTGGACTGGTTTTATGCTTCACGTTCGCGAAGGAGAATCAATGCAGAATATTTGATTCGTTCACCTTCGCGTATAAAATCATAAATGTATGTTCGCGAAGATTCATATATGAATATTTCCGAACCCTGGTTCAAAGACACCCCCGTAAACCACTTTTTGATAAAAAGGCAGATTTTTGACAATTGCTCAATTGTAAAAATTCGAAGCGGTGTTACCCAATTTAAGTTTTTTGGTAGAGGGGATTTTATATCATACATTTGGGATTATATATAAAACAGTTGTATTCACATTTACCTTTTAAAAATAGTTAATATCTTATATTAAAAATATTTAAATTTTACATTAAACTCGATAAACACTTCGGAAAAACTTTACATTTAGGTTAATAAAAGTTTAGTGAACATATTTTAAAAATATTTAGTGTCTTCATACCGTCTGATTATTTCACAATGTAACTAGCCAGGACTATTACAGTTTTCTATATCGGGTGCGATTGTTTCTGATATATAAACACTGAAATTACAAATTTTTATGTGTAATTTAATTCATATTTAGGGGATTCACAATTCGTGTTAGACGTCGTAATGTCTTAAAGGCTTAAATTTGTTCAATATACAGTAACGGTTAAAAGCGATTTGAAAGATTCGTTGGGTATAATAAGAGCCAATAATATATTTCCTACTAGTTTAAAAATATTTTGGTTATGTTAAAAAACGCCTAAAGAAGTATTAGGTGTTATTTTACGTTTAAAAATTTTAAGACTTTAACACATTACGACACTTAACACCTCTTGTGAATCCTCCATATGTGCTTGACCATGAAACTATATCGTTGTTTATTTGGGTAAAATTTAAATATAGTTCACTGTTCAATATTGGAGTTGGTGTGAAGTATGCAAATGAGAACAACAATTATCAACTAATTGAGCATTAGCCTCATTTATTTAAAAAACAAAAGACATTTTGCTTGGTAAAATTTCGATTCTAAGAATAAAATGGTTTTAAACAAACGAAAAGTTAATAATAAAATTTTTGCGTATGGTAGCATGAAATTTTACAATATGCTTAATTGTCAAGTGGTTTTTTGTATCATGGAAACACATAGCAACTGATTTCACACTTACAGTGGGATAAACTTAAAACTTCTAATATAAATTAGTTAAATTAAGATTTTTTTTATCAATTTTAAGTTTTCTTTTGGATTAATTTTCATGAACTAATCTATTAAGAGACCTTTTTAGAAAATTGTCGTACATCCGATATCTATTAAAATTTTGACATCCTCACTTTTTGGAAAAAGAAGTTCAAGATACAAGTTTATGTCCAAAAAATAAATTAAGCAATAAAAGTCGCCTAATATTTATGGAACATATAATAGAAAATTTTTTTTTCATTACCCAGACTTTATGACTCTATAAGTAATAGTAGAAATTTCGAATTAGTAAGTTCGTCTTGACTGAATCTGGAAACAAACATATTTGGGTTCATTCGCCTTTATCAAACATTTCAAAAAATTTCGCGCTCAATTTCATCATCAAAGCGATGACAAAAGGTTTACGCATTATAGAATGCAACAGCTTCCAACTAGCGAGATTGAATTTCAATAGCGGAAACAAAATTTCACCACTTGTGCTGGAAAGAGATGAAGCGTTAAACAAACTAAGGTATTAAGAAAACCCAAATAAAACAGTTAAATAAGTTAACAAAAATAGATAAATCCAAGTGAGCTTATTCCTTATTTGTATGGCATTATATAAATCTAAAGAAATACTATTAAGTATAATACTAGCAATTATACTTGTTAACTGATCTCACGAAAAAACATACATAAGTTCATAAATCTTTAAAAATAATAATTTAATAAAAGTTACGTTTAAAAATAATTTTTTTTATATATCAACTTCCTACGCCATTGCTTGCAAAATAGCTATATCTAAAAATGCATTTTCTCTTTATTTTCACATTTCCATGACATTCAGAATTTCGAGCTAACATTGATGTAAAAAAAAAATAAATACAAATCAAAACTATAATACAGAGACGGATACGGATATGGAAATGGCAGGATAATAGTTTTTGCTGCTTCTGCAACAAATGCAGATTTTCGTTGTCAGTCTCAAAATGAGGATAGTTAAGTACAACAGCGACAGACAAACTGGATAACAGCACAATGGATTAATAGGGATAAGGCAGAATTGCAGTTTTAGCTGGATAGCTGGAGTATAGTAAATAAACGTAATACAAATTAAAAAATGTGTGTGGTGGGGAGCTTGCATGTACATACTAATGTAGGGCTGTATTTATGCCTTCTGGTAGCTAATCTACATACATACCTATGTATGTATGTACACCAACGTAACATGAAGCTGAACATATGCCGAATTTTGTTATTGTAGTTGTCAGCGTACTGTAGCAATACATGAAAGTTCCATTAAAGTGCAATTGCTAACATATTAAGGGCCGGTTGTTTAATGACTGATTAGCACAAATCGGAGGTAGAAGCTCCGGTTAAATACAACGACTGCTTTATCGATCACATGTCATATGCATTAAGTCGAAAACGTCGATAATGATGTTTAACCGGCAAGTAGTGATAACCAGACATTGAACAACCGGCCCTAAAAAAAGTCTACACATAGCCCATGATTAAATTATTAAAAGTTTTGTAAGTAGCTTTACTCTAAAATTTCGCACTCCCACCCACAGGGATGGTTTATGGAAGCAGGAGAAAAAGGGGAAGAATTCAATCACACTTCCTAAAATGGGAGCTAAATTCCATAAAAATATGTGGATAATAGTGAATGGTGGTATTTTAAAACAAAAACGAATTTGATTTAATTTTTTAATTTAAAGAAGCTTATTTACATCGAATATAACCCCCGATTGTTATTAAAAATAAATATTTCTATGTATATACCAAACTTGTGTACGTCAGATGGCGCATAACTCGAGAATGGATGGTCCACTTTCAGCTTTTTTCTGTTGTATTTGTTTGCCAGATCATTTAAAAGTTTTGAAGAAAATCACTTTGCTCTTTTGTGAAAATTTGGGACCATCTTATGCGAGTATTGTCGACAAAATGTTAGTCTATGAATTATTAAAAATTAACGAATAAATGGTTAATCGCGATTAATGATTAAAATTAATTAAGCGATCGCTGTGGTGTAGTGGTTAGATGTGCGCATGACCATTCCGCAGGGTTAGGGTTCGAGCCCAGTTCCGGTCAATATAAAAAAGAAAATGTTTTTTGTAGTAGTGGTCCGCCCCCGGCAGGAGTCGGCGTAAAACTGTTGGTCCCTCCCCTTTTTTGTATTCGACGCTTCCAGAAATCACATAATACATAAAATAAATAAAAGCTGTTTTGATTAATATTACATAAACTGGAAACTGCTAACAATAAATGCGCTTGTGTACAGAGATTTTAGAACCTATTGAGTTCCTAAAATGTCTGTTTGCAACAGATAACAATAAAAATGCACATCAAATTGCTAAGAATGATGAAGGAAATCGGTTC